AGGCCTTCGCGGGGCTTCCTCGCACTCCCGCTGGCCTTGCAGGTCCACCGCCGGGCCCCTCATGGGGCTCGGCAGTGGAGCTGCAAGGCCGCCGCCGGCGACCGGGACCGTTGGGGGCGGGGTGTGTGGCCTTATGACACACTTCTGGTGATGTCAGGGGGTGTGGCCTTATGACACACTTCCGGTGATGTCAGGGGGTGTGGCATGTGCTAATGAGTTATGCTAATGAGTTCCCCTAACTCTTTTTCTACGAAACGACCCCTGTAAGTCTCTCTCTCTCCCCTTCCCTTGTCCCTGAGGGGGAACACTAGGAGAGTCTTGAGGGGAAAAGGAGTTCTGAGGGGGGGAAGAGATTTTGGAGGAGAAAATAGGAGACAGAATCCACTTGGGTCCAAGGTTTCTGATTACCCAGTGGAGAGTTGATTGGCTGTGCCGATTTTTTTTTAAAACATTGCTTTGCCAGCAGCTGTCACCACAGCACAAGGTTCTTTACTGTGTGACTGAAGGTAAGCTGTAGCAGCCATTTTGGAGCTGGCTCCACCTCCTGCGGCAGCCATTTTATGGCCACCATTTTGTGGCTGTGCTCACCACACCATTTCAGAATTCCAAAAGCACCTGCAGGCTCAAAAAGGTTAGGGACCCCCTACTCTCTGCCTTCAGCAGCCACATGATGGACAGATCTTTTAACACACAAGCATGCGTACATCATTAAAATCTGTGCTTCTTTATTTCTGTAGCTGAAAAGGCATAACCACAGAGCAGGCTGCTTGCCTTTCCTTACCTGGCCTGTCTTCCCTCTGTGCCTCCTCACTTGGAGAAAACTGGGCTTACCTATCTTTACTTTTATCTGGTCAGCTACATCATCAATGGTGAAGCAATGAGCCGCCGTCAAGATGACTTTCTCAGAAACAAGGGTTCCTTTGCACGTCTCAGTTCCACGCCCAGGACGCTTTGATTTGGAAGAGAAGAGAAATATGGATATTTGAAAGTGTGGGGAGACACCCATGTCATTTGGTGGGGAGCACACTGCTTGGTAAATGGATGTTGCTTCCAAACAGAGCTTTTGCTCCAGTTTGGCATACCTTCTGCTTTTTGCTGATTTCCCCCCAAACCTATTTTGATGCACTTTTTTTATAACTCTTTATTTATTGAATTTTTAAATTTTTATTATAATAATATAACATCAAACAGTAAAACTACAAAAGAAAAAAAAACCTAAAGACCTCTAACTAACAATAACACATTATACATTTTCTAAAATCCTTTAAACATTCGTACGAGTATCATCAGTTGTTTAATACAGTACGAAATCAAGGTATTTGTTAGGCAGAGCATTATAGTCATTTGCATTCGTTTCAACATAATGGAAAAAGGAAAACCATTTTTCTACAAAGTTAGATTGCTTCAAAGGATTCTCAGCAAGTTGTAATTGTATTGCCATTTGGTTATAAACAATTACGTCCCAAACCTTTTGAAACCACTGTTTCACTGTTGGAGTTTTATCTGAGTACTGAGCTATTAGCATCTTTGCTGCTATCAGTAAAAGAGATACCACCTCTACACATGTCTGTTCTCCCAGTGATTCAGTAAAAGAGAGTCTGGACTATTAGGGATAGTTTGTCCCACTATTATTTCTATAATTGGTAAAATTGAATTCCAAAATTTGCTGATGACATGAAGTTGTTCAGGGTGGTGAAAAGCAGGGAGGATTGTGAGGCACCCCAAAGGGATCTGTCGAGGATGGGCAAGTGGGCGTTAACGTGGCAAATGGGGTTCGATGTGGCCAAGTGCAAGGTGATGCACATTGGAGCCAAAAATCCTACCGTAACTATAAATACACGTTGATGGGGTCCAAACTGGTGGAGACTGACCAAGAGAGAGATCTTGGAGTCAATAGTAGATAACTCACAGAAAATGTCGAGACAGTGTGAGACTGCAATAAAAAAGGCCAATGCTATGCTGGGGATTATTAGGAAGGGAACTGAAAACAGATCAGCCAGTATCATAATGCCTCTGTATAAAGCAATGGTGCGACCTCATTTGGAGTACTGTGTGCAGTTCTGGTCAGCACACCTCAAAAAGGATATTATAGCTTTGGAAAAAGTGCAGAAAAGGGCAACTAGAATGATAAAGGGATTGGAACACTTTCCCTATGAAGAACGGTTAAAGCGCTTGGGGCTCTTTAGCTTGGAGAAACGACGGCTGAGGGGTGACATGATTGAGGTTTATAAGATTATGCACGGGATAGAGCAGGTAGAGAAAGAAGTACTTTTCTCCCTTTCTCACAATACAAGAACTCGTGGGCACTCCATGAAATTGCTGAGCAGTCGGGTTAAAACAGATAAAGGGAAGTCCTTCTTCACCCAAAGAGTGATTAACACATGGGGTTCACTGCCACAGGAGATGGCGGCGGCTACAAGCATGGACGGCCTCAAGAGGGAATTAGATAAGCATATGGAGCAGAGGTCCATCAGTGGCTATTAGCCACAAGGTATAGATAGGGGCTCTGGGGCAAGTGATGCTCTGTATTCTTGGTGCTTGGGGGGGGGGGTCAACAGTGGGAGGGCTTCTAATGTCCTGGCCCCACTGGTGGACCTCCTGATGGCACTGGTATTTTGGGCCACTGTGTGACACAGAGTGTTGGACTGGATGGGCCTTTGGCCTGATCCAACATTGGCGTCTCTTATGCTCTTATGTTCTTTTTTTTGAAGCATCGCTCCCAGAGACTAGGATCTGGGAGATAAAGGTTCAGATCCCCATGCTGCCATGGAAGCTCACTGGGAAACGTGGGCACAGTCGCTTGCTCTCACACGAATCTGCTCCACAAGAGCAGGCAGCTTGGCTCTCGAAAGCTCACACACCCTGGAAATCTTGTCGGTCTTTAAGGTGCTGCCGGACTCGCCTCTGGCTCTTGTACCGCAGACCAGACACACGGGAAACTACTCCACAAGGCCATTGTGAGGATAAAACAAAGGGGAAAGTGTTGTGTAGTGAGAGCTTCGAGCGAACACTCGTTGTTCGAGGGGCTCCTGGCAGCTACATTTGGGACTGGCCGCCCTTGCCGAGCCGGCCAATCAGGGAACATCGGCTTGAAGCAAGCTGTGCAGTTAAGGGTTCCTAACTGCCTAACTGGGGGGATGCGGTGGCTCAAGTGGTTAAGACACTGAACTGCAGACCAGAAGGTCGGTAGTTCAGCAGTTTGAGGCCCGAGTACTGCATGACGGAGTAGGGCTGCCAACCCCCCCGGTAGGGCGGAATTCCCCCCGCCCCGGAGGCCCGTTACCTGACGCCGGGGAATCGGGGCCCGGGGGGAACTCCGCCCCGGCGTGCGCGTCACCCGGAAGTGACGTCGCACGCTGGGGGGCGGGGCCATGCCATTTGAGGGGAAAACAAAGAGTTTTCCCCTCAAATGGCGTGGCCCCGCCCAGCGTGTGACGTCACTTCCTGTGACGTTCTGGCGGCGCGCGCGCATCCACGAACTACTCCCGGACCAGCAGGACGCTCCCCCGCCGGTCCGGTTTTACGATTTGGCAACCCTATGACGGAGTGAGCGCCCATCTCTGGCCCCAGCTCCTGTCAACCTAGCAGTTCGAAAGCAAGAAATTGCAAATAGATAAATAGGGACCGCTTCGGTGGGAAGGTAACAGCGTTCCGTGTGCCTCGGCATCTAGTCATGCCGGCCACATGACCATGGAGAAGTCTTTGGACAGCGCTGGCTCTTCGGCTTGGAAATGGAGATGAACACCGCATCCCTAGAGTCGGATTCGACTGGCTTTCGAGCAAGGGAAACCTTTCCCTTAACTGCCTAATTGCCTATTGGTGTATTTGTATTTTGTAGGTGTGTTTTGGGCTAGGGGTTCTGTATATAGTTGCAGCTTCCGCATGTGTTGTTGCTGAGCAACTAAATAAAGAGCCATGCTGAAACCACTATAGTTTCGTGAACCCACTACTTAACAGAAAGAATCATGCTTGCTGTTCTGAGCTTTTGAAGGAAGGGTGAGAGAAAAATGTACTAGACCAAAAATATGGTTGCCAGGTCTGGGTTGGAAAATACCTGGAGACTTTGGGGGTGGATCCAGGAGAGGGAGGGGTTTGGGGAAGGGAGGGGCCTCGGCATGGTACAAGGTTCACCCTTCAAAGCAGCCATTTTCTCCAGGGGAGCTGATCTCTGTCAGCTGGAGATCAGTTGTAAAAGCAGGAGATTCCCAGGCACCCACCTGGAGGCTGGCAACCCTAACCAAAAATATACTAGATAGGATAACAGATGAACTTACCAAGATGGAGATACTGACAAGCCAGGGATTTTTTTTTTCATAGTCAGCGCTTTGGTACTCCTTCGCCAAGCCACACATGCTCAGTGCCTCACTTTCGTCTGCAGGGTGACATAAATAAAAGCATATGACGTCACAGCCTCAGGCCGTCTGTTCTCCTGAAAGGTACAGAGGGTTGAAGACGAGGCTTGGGGCCTGCCTGGGAGAAGAAATGAGTGGGAAAAGACTGGGCCAGAATGCTTTTTTGGTGGTGGTGGGGAGGAATAAATGGGACAGTATTGGACAATGGCTACAGCGCTGGACTTGAGTTTAGGAGACGGGGATCACCTGCACAGGCATGGACAGAGATCCATTATTCATTATTCCCAAGGGAGATCCATTCATATGAATGGATCTCCCTTGGGAGTAATGGAGAATTTCCAGAGAAGTGGTAAAGCATTTTGTTAACAAAAACTGCTGAATAAACAATTAGAATATATGTACATTCTATAGGGTTGCCAGCTCTGGGTTGGGAAATATCTGGAGATTTTTTTTGGGGGGGGGGAGTGAAGCCTGAGGAGGGCGGGCTTTGAGGAGAGGAAGGATTTCAATGGGGAATAACTCCACAGAGTCCGCCTTCCAAAGGGGCCATTTCCTCCAGGTGAACTGATCTCTGTGGACTGGAGATCAGTTGTAGTCCCAGAAGAACTCCAGCCACCACCTGGAGCTTAAAATCATAGAACCATAGAGTTGGAAGGGATCTCCGGGGCCATCTAGTCCAGTCCCTTTTCAGATCAAGTTTCTATCGTCTCTGGCTGCAGAGACAAACTTGAACACATATGGGGAATGGTTCTCTTAGCACAAACAGCAGCTTATATTAGTAGGAAAATGTAGCCACTCCTGACTGGTGGGAGTCTGGAGGACACTGGTAGCATGGCATCATTTCTTGGGGGGGGGGGGGGAGAAGAGAAGCCATAGAGTTTCCTGCAATCCCAAGAGGAGGAGGAGGAGGAAGAAGAAGAAGAAGATAAGAGATTGGATTTATACCCCGCCCTTCACTCGGAGTCTCAGAGCGGCTTACAAACTCCTTTCCCTTCCCCTCCCCACAACAGACACCCTGTGAGCTGGGCGGGGCTGAGAGAGCTCTGACACAAACGGCTCTTTTTCAAGGACAGCTGTGCCAGAGCTTGTGACTGACCCAAGGTCACATCAGCAGGTGCAAGTGGAGGAGTGGGGAATCCAACCCGGCTCTCCCAGATTAGAGTCCGCACACTTAACCACTACACCAAACTGGAGGAGGAGGAGGAGGAGGAGGAGGAGAAGAAGAAGAAGAAGAAGAAGAAGAAGAAGAGATTGGATTTATACCCCGCCCTTTACCACCCAAGGGAGTCTCAGAGCGGCTTACAAAAGCTTTTCCCTCCCCCTCCCCCTCCCCACAACAGTCACCCCGTGAGGTAGGTGGGGCTGAGAGAGCTCTTGACAGAAACTTTTCTTTTTTCAAGAACAGCTGTGCCAGAACTATAGCTTGCCCAAGGTCATCCAGCAGGTGCAAGTGGAGGAGTGGGGGAATCAAACCCGTTTCTCCCAGATTAGAGTCCGCACACTTAACCACTACACCAAACTAGAGCAGACTGATGTCATTTCCAGTCATTCCCTGGAAGTGATTTCACACCCTTGGCCATTTTTTAGATTATTTTTCTCTCCCCAGCCACAGGAGCAGGGGACACCGCACCCCTAGTAGGAAAAATTACAGCCCTGCAGCATGGAGCTTATACACTGCTCTCTATTGCAACTCTTCCCACACTGTGTTTCAAGGGGATGCCTGGAAGTTCCTCAGCAGTTCATTTAGCTAATTAATCTTGTCAGTATGCACCCTAGACTTGCTGCTTCACAAAGCCATGATGCAAGCTACAGTAATTTAAAAAAAATAACATGTAGTCAACTAAAACATCTATAATAAAAATATAAAAACAAAGAAGTATTAAAGCAGCCATACACATAAAAAAACCAGCAAATGCTCAAAAGCCACAAATTAAATACTCAGTTCAGAGCACCATTGTTAGAAGAAGCGAGATGTAAAATTAATAGCACAAAACTCATCATAAATAAAACCCTGAGTTTCTGGCAAAGGACTCAAGGAGCATGTCTACACCACTGACTTTGTGGTGGCTCCGTGTCTACCGAGAGCAATTGCTCTGAAGCACTGAGGGTCCAGTGAGAAAGTTCTGAAATCTCACAGAAACAAAAAAGTTGTATTACCGATCATTTCATCAAAGGCCTTCTGCATCGCTTCAAGGCCTTCGAGTTTAAAGACGTGTCTCTCGTTGCTTTTGTGAGAGGCCAGTTCATTCACATTTTCTACGTTGACCATCTCCCCAACACCAAACACGTAGACATCTAGGTGGAAACATGGAAGGAAGCACAAGGTGAGTTGAGAAAGTTCTGGATCTCTTAGTGACACGGCAGCAATGTGCAGGGCAGTGTTCTGACATTCTTCTGGCTCATGATCTCTTCCAGCTTTCAGTCACGCCAGTGTTTCCTGTGTTCTCAAGAAACCATCCCTTCCTTGACAAATGTCACCTGATTTCCCTTCACTGCTGAACTCCTAGAGCAGGGGTGTCAAACATGCGGCCTGTGGGCCAGATCAGGCCCTCAGAGGGCTGCAATCCGGCCCGCAAGGCCCTGGTTGTTTCCTGCTTCCTTTTCCAGTTCTGCTGCTGCTGCTATGTCACAGCATGCTTTAGCAGACTCTCAATTGCACAGGAGAGAGAGATAGGCAAGCCTATCCTATGTGATCGAAAGAGTTTGATAAAACACTGGCTGAGGCTCCTCCCCCTCCTCCTCCCAGGGGCAAGGAGGGAACCAGCCAGAGCTCACTTCCTGGTTAGGCTGCCTCAATCGTATACAGAAGACAAAGAGAAGCCTGTATTTCTGAGCGCTTCCGGTCTATGGATTGGCGATGGCAGTCGCTCTCCCCAGAGCTTGGGGAGGCGATTAGCACACCATGGGCATGGAGGGGGGCCACCTCAAGTGGCACTCCCACAGAGCCAAAGGCTCCAGGGCAGAGAGCTTTGAAGGATAGCCTCTTTGACGGCTTGCTGCCGGAGAATCGAGGCTTCTCTCTGCTCTGACGGTCCTACCGATGAGTGGCCTTAGGGCACAAGCTAACCCGACCGGGATTGTTTACAAGATTATGCATGGGAAAGAACAGGTAGAGAAAGAGGTACTTTTCTCCCTTTCTCACAATACAAGAACTCGTGGGCACTCCATGAAATTGCTGAGCGGTCGGGTTAGAACAGATAAAAGGAAGTACTTCTTCACCCAAAGAGTGATTAACACATGGAATTCACTGCCACAGGAAGTGGTGGCGGCTACAAGCATGGACGGCTTCAAAAGGGAATTAGATAGGCATATGGAGCAGAGGTCCATCAGTGGCTATTAGCCACAAGGTATAGATAGGGGCTCTGGGGCAAGTGTTGCTCTGTCTTCTTGGTGCTTGGGGGGGCCAACAGTGGGAGGGCTTCAAATGTCCTGGCCTCACTGGTGGACCTCCTGATCGCACCTGGTATTTTTGGCCATTGTGTGACAGAGTGTTGGTCTAGATGGGCCTTTGGCCTGATCCAACATTGGCATCTCTTATGTTCTTATGTTCTTATGACCGAGCGGAACAACGATTGATGTGAGCAAGGTCAGGAATGTAACCAACAATGAATGTGAGTTCTAAGTAAACGAACTTTGATAAACAGCACCCCCCCTCCCTGTGGGAAAAGCGGAGCGTAAAGAGGGACACCTCTGAAGCGCAAGGACAGATAAACGCAACGAAGGGGGAATGAAAGGAAACAGACAGCATTTGTATTTTGAGAGACTTACTTGAGTGCAAATAGCGAATTGACGAGTGCTTCGAGCCCGGGAGAAGCTGTTTGAAAGTGTAAACAAAGTTGAAAAATGGCGGTATCCCGAGGAAAGTTTAAAGCGAAGCCTGGTAGTCAGAGTCAGAGGCCGGAAGAGGGAGCTGATGTCATAAAGCTGTTAGCGGATATGCTCAAGCCAGTGATGGATCAGCTCGATGGTATTAACCAGCAACTGACCTCGTTAAATCAAAACTTTGCTTCACAACAGCGACAGCTGGCAGAAACGGGGAAAAAAGTGGAGCTGGTGACTGAGAAAGTTACAGAGATGAACACCTCAAGCAAGAAGATGAAGAAAAGAATGGGTGAAGTGGAAACGAAACAAAATCTTCAAGAAAATCATTTGTTGCAGCTGCAAATGGAAAAGGCTAATATGATTCTCAGGTTCCAGGGGATTCCTGAGACAGAAAAAGAAGATTTGAAGAAGACTCTGGGTGAGATTATCGCTCCAGTGACAGGCTTGCCAGCGGAGGAAATAATAAAAGACATGGAGACAGCTTATAGGGCAATTATATTTTAAAAAATAGCCTGCCTGGAGAGATTGTGGTGAGATTTGCAAGAAGACAGACCAGAGATGCTATATTACAGGCAACGTCAGCAACTCCACTGAAATTTGGGAATACAATTATCAAGACTTTAAAAGACATTCCATTTGAAATTCGTCAGAAGAGAAAGAGCTACAAGGAGTTAATTACTTTTCTTCAAACAAACGGTATACAGTACAGGTGAGCGATTCCTGAATGTGTCAACTTTAAAATCAATGATAGAAGGGAGAAGATAGACTCCATCTTCAAAGCCAAGGAATTCTTGAAACGCCAGCTGGGATCGGGGGAAGAATCCAAAGAGGAAGAAACTAAGTCAAGTGAATCAGCTGCCTCTGGAACGGATGAGGACTCTGCTGCAGAAGCGGGCACGGGAGCAATGAAAACTGTATATGATTTTAGAGACAGAAGGCCGAAGTAAGGGCAGAAGGACTCTGATAAATAGCTCTTTGAAATAAAGAAGATACTCAGAAAGTTCTCTCATAATAACTAATTTACTAATATAGAACAATGTGAAAAACAAGAACTCTACAAGTATATTGTTTTACTAACTCTTTTAATACTAATATTAAGGTTAACATAAAGGGGGTCTCCCACTCTTGGGTTTTTAGTTAGTGTGGGTTTCTTTCCTTTATCCATAGTTGTAGTTCCCCTTCCTATATTTTCCTTTGTAGTTTGTAGTTTTATTGAAATAAAAAAAATACCCCTCTGGGGGTTTAAAAAAAAAAGCCTCTATTTCTTTCCACTGGCTCAGGCTCCTCTCTGAAGGGAGGGAGGGAGAGAGGGAATGAGGGAGAGCTTGCTCTGCTGGGCTGCCTCAATTGTACAGGGAAAATACCAGGCACCTTTAAACCAACAAAGTTTTGTTCAATGTATGAGCTTTTGTGTGCCTTGCTACAGTGTGTGTGTGTATTCTGTTGGGCTCCTTATGCTGTGTATATATGTGTTTTGTTGGGCTCCTTATGCAAGGGCTCTCCTGAGTGCAACTGGTTTCCCTCCCCCTTTTCACTGTATTCATGCCCTCATGATCCAGTCTTTCCCAGTAAGAAAGCAATGCGAACTATTTTAGAGAAGGAATAACAACAAGCCAATGAGGTGGATTAGGCAGAGAGTGAGTATTCCCAGTAGTACTGAATGGCTGCGAGAGTTGGACTATAAGGAAGGCCAAATGCCGAAGAATAGATTATTTTGAATTATGGTGCTGGAGAAGACTTTTGAGAGTCCCCTGGACTGCAAAAAGATCAGATCAGTCAATCCTAAAAGAAATCAACTCTGACTGTTCCCTGGAAGGCCAGATACTGAAGCTCAAATACTTTGGCCACCAAATGCGGAGCACTCACTGAGAAGATCCTGATGCTGGGAAAGATTGAAGGTCAAAGAAGAAGGGGACGGCAAAAGATGAGATGGTTAGACAGTGTTATTGAGACAATGAACATAAAATTAAGCAAACTTCGGAGCACGACGGAAGACAGGAGGGCCTGGCGTGATGTGGTCCATGGGGTAGCGAAGAGTCAGACTCGACTGTGCGACTGAACAACAAGAGTGTCCAGACCAAGTTCACCCAGAACATTTCCTTTGTAGGAAGTTGTAGTTATTTTTCTGGGGAAGACTATAGTTTTGTAGACAAACAAACCTCAGTCTGTGTCAGGATGCCTTCTCATGTTCTTGACCAGCATATGAAGCAACTTATGTACAAAAGTTCACAATGCCCAACCATTTCATGTTTTCCCCTGGGCCCTAGGCTCAGAACACTGAGCATGAGATTTCTTTAATGAATGTCAATAAATCAAAAGTAGGTTTCCTGAACAGCATACTCAAGATTGCGACATTTTAATGCAATAGACATTTTGATGCAATAATTCAGAGCAAGAGGTGTCAGTTATCAGAGACTGTTAAATAGACAAAATATTGCAAGAGTGCTAGTGTTTTTAGCATGTTTTATTTAAAGTTTAAAAAAAATTGAATTGTGTTTGTGTCCTTTATAAAGTTTATATCTCTGCTACCTGGCATTATATTTTATGACACACATGGCCCGGCCCAACAAGGTCTCATTTATGTCAGATCTGGCCCTCATAACAAATTAGTTCAACACTCCTATCCTAGAGCATACTGCTTGCTCCTATTGTCTCTGTCCTTTCTCTTGATCATCTACAATCTAGCTTCCGTCCTCTACTCTCCAGTGAAACTGCCCTCACCTAAATCAGTGATCGTCTCATTATAGGAGAAGCAAGTCTCCTGCTCTATCAGGAGACCTCCCACCACTGCTGCCACAGCCTGGTGCAGCAGCAAGAAAAATCCACAGACGCAAAGTGCCGTTGTGGCACTTCCACAACATCACTTCCGGTCACTGCAAAATTCTTGCAATCCCCCAAATCTCTATGGCAGGGGTGTCAAACTCAGGTGTGTATCTGTAAGCTGCAAACCTACGATGATGCAGCAGCAGCAGAACTGGAAGAAGAAAAAGACAGCCAGTTTGACTGTGGGCCTGATAGAAGCCCTCCGGGGGGCTGATCCGGCCCCCTGGCCGTATGTTTGACACCCCTGCTCTATGGTGTTGTGGCATATGTGATGTCACTTCCGGTGATATGACTGGAAGTGGCATTGCGGCATCACACAACACTAAGTCCCACCCCCAAAAGCTGCAAAAAGTTGTCAGCCCTCAGCTGGCAACACTCTCTCATTGCCAAATCCAATGGCCTCCACTGGTTCTTCATCCTCCTTGAACTTTTTTGCTGCCTTAGATACAGCTCATCACCCCTTCCTGCTTTCCTCCTTTCACCCTATAGGTTTCCATGAATCTGTCCTTGGCTGGTTCTCTTCCTACCTATCTAATGGCTCACATGCTGTTCCCACGGGGGGCGGGGGGGCTCTTCCTCTGCTTGCCCTCTCTCCTCTGAAGTTGCCCCAAAGATCCCTCCTTGGCCGTTCTCTGCACACTGTTCTTGAACTGCCCCCGCGCTTCAGTATCACCTGTATGCTAACGTATATCCAAGGATGCCCCAGATCCTTGCCCAAAATGATTGCACTGGAGGAGTTGCCATCCTGATGTTCAACCAAAATGGAATATGGCTGTGGAGTAAAGGCATTTCAGCCAAGTATACAAGGCTGTCGTATAATGGAATAGGTGCTGACTGGGATGGCCCAGGCTAGCCCGATCTTATCCGACCTCAGAAGCTAAGCAGGGTTGGCCCTCGTTAGTGCTTGGGAGGGAGACACCCCCCCCCCCGCGGAAGTCCAGGGTCTCCAGGCAGAGGCAAGGAATGGGCAAACCCGCCTCTGTTCTTCTCTTGCCTTGAAACCCCCATGGGGGTCGCCATGAATCAGCTGCAATCTGACTGCACTTTCCAACACCATAATGAAATGGAGAAGGTCCGTAGCCAGGATTTTGTAATCCTTTAAATAAGTCAGGGGGCACTGACGTCACAAAATAAAAAAAATAAAATTAAAATATAATTTTAAAAAAGAGCCTCACTTTTGCAGCATTCGCACTCTGCCTGGTGAAGCAAGCCGTGCTCGGGGAGGGGGCAGTGGTGGGGAGGCCTCTGGGTGGCTCAGAGAGTCGGGAGTTCTCCGGGCAGCCCAGAGAGCTGAGGGCCAGGGGGCTGGATGGAAGTTCGGGGGGGCGGGGGGTGGATGGAAGGTGGGGGGGGGGGGGGCCTTGGCAGAAAGTTGGGAGGCCAGGCCCCGAAATGCCCCGCTGTAGCTACAGGCCTGGAGGCTGCTTTTTAAAATTAAACAGGATTTTAGTGTATTCCACTGTTCATTGTATTATTATCTTGGTCTTACAGCATTGTTTTCTACTTCAGTAATAGGGTTGCCGAGTCCCTACCTTGGGGATGGGGTTCCCCCCGACGGCCTGATCCTGGGCCCACGGGAAACAGGGCGATCAAGCGAGGGTTTCCCCACCCCCCAGGGGGACCTGGCAACCCTATTCAGTAATGTTATTTTCTACATTGTTTATGACACATGATTTCTGGGGTTTGGGGGGGGGGTTGCACTGTGTCTAAATTCTGTCATCCTCGCCCTATTGCCTTGTTTGTTGGATGCCTTGTGCCATTTGATTGCATGGCCTAACCTGTGTAATCTACCTCAAGTCTCAGCAAGAAAGGCAGGCGATAAATAAATAATTTCCTCAATGGTGGCTTGGGAATGGCAACAGATCCCCATTAGTCAAAGAAATCCCCCCCCCTCCTATTCCCTCACATCAGCCACAGATCGTCACATCTTACCCAAGTAATCCTCACGATCTCCAACTCTCTCACGCCCAATATGGAGGAACTCCCGGATTCGACCAATGACAGGAGCTGGCTCACCCCCCATGTTGAAATTGCCTGGAAAGACAGAGTATTCGTTATAATAGAGAGAGGGGTGGAGCAGGGATGATGCGTGCTCTTGAAGGGAAAGAAGAACTCTGCTGGATTGAACCAAAGGTCAGAGAATCATAGAGTTGGAAGGGACCTCCAGGGTCATCTAGTCCAACCCCCTGGACAATGCAGGACATTCACAAATACCTCCCCCTCCACACCCGCATTGACCACTGTTCCACGCCCAGAAGATGACAAAAAAATCCCTCCAGGATTGCTTCCTGACCCCAAAGTGGCAATCAGCATTTCCCTGGGCATGTAAAAAAGGGCCACAAGAACTAAGCACTGAGGCAACCCTTCCTGCCCTCATTTCTCATGATCTGCCCAAGTTCACAGAATCCACATTGCTGTCAGATGGCCATCTAGCCTCTGTTTGAAAACTTCCAAAGAAGGCGAGCCCACCACTTCTGGAGGAAGCCTGTTCCACTGAGGAACTGCTCTGTCCTAACTGTCAGGAAGTTCTTCCTAATGTTTAGCTGAAAACTCTTCTGATTTAATTCCAACCCATTGGTTCTGGTCTGATCTCCTCTAGATGACAGCCCTTCAAGTACTTGAAGATGGTTATCATATCACCTCTTAGTAGGGTTGCCAAGTCTATTTATCTTGGCGGCGGGGGAGCCTCGCCGGGCTCCAAAAGCCGTAGGTGGATGTGCGCGCGCGCCGCCAGCACATCACCGGAAGTGATGCGCGACGTCAATGGGAGAAAACCTCCGGTGACGCAGCCACGCTGCAGTTTGGGGGGGGGCGGAGTTCCCCCCGGGGCCTGATTCCGCGGTGGTGGAAATCGGGCCTCCAAAGCGGGGGGTTACCCGCCACCCGCCCCCACTTGGCAGCCCTACCTCTTAGACCAGCATTCTGTGTCCAATAGAGGCCAATCAGATGTCTCTGGGAGGGCCATCAGTCGGGCAACAGCCCTTCCTTTTGTTTGTTGCCAGGATCTATTATCCAGAGATATGCCATCATGCCTTAAATAGATGTTCCCTTTGGATGTCATGGTCTATTGCCTCTGAGCAGGATACTGATCACAATCAGGGCTCCCAACACCACCTTGGAAAATGCTGTCAGATTCTTTTGGGGGGGTGCCTGGAGTCGGGGTTTGGGAAAGATGTGATTGCACTTCTGAGTGTTGCTCTAGGCTGCCTCTCCTAGTCTCTAGGGTCTCTACCATAAGGGACTGGGAGATCATTCCTACAGCGTCACTACTTGGAGGCCATTTTTCTCTAGTTCCTCAGGAGTATGAAATTGGGGCTGAGGGCTGGTAATCCCCCACCTCAGGTGGCTAAATGGAAGGCCTAAGCACAGTGTTGGTACATAGTGAGCCAGGGGACATCACGGACTTTGTAGTGCATATCTCAAAGCTCCACTGAGGGTTGTATATCTCCCAAAATAGTGATAGATTCAAAACTTCAAAAAGGGGGCAGAATCATTTGGCAGAATTCAGCCAATCATTGCTAATTTACTTTGGCAATTACTTACCAACTTCTGGTATTGACCTTTAAGGCCCTAAGCAGTCTGGGACCAATGTATCTTCAGGACCGGCTCTCCTGGTATGTTCCCCAATGAGCATTATGCTCAGCGGAGAAAAATCTTCTGGTGATCCCTGGCCCCAAAAATATTCAGCTGTCCTCTACTACAACCAGTGTTCCCTCTAAGCTGAGTTAGCGTGAGCTAGCTCACAGTTTTTTAGCCTCCGGCTCACAGACTTTTGTCTTAGCTCAGGAAGGATGGGGCTCCAGAGCAAACTAATTTATGCCGTAGCCAAATTGCTGGCTCACAACTTTAATGCCAGTAGCTCACAAAGTAGAATTTTTGCTCACAAGACTCCACATCTTAGAGGGAACATTGACTACAACCAGGGCTTTTTCGACGTCCTCCAAGCGATTCTGCACTAAAATCGAATCCAACCTTCTTTTTAATCGTCCCCCACCCCCCCATTCCGCACTAAAATAGAGTTCAACCTTTTTATTCTGGATTTTCCCCCCATTCTGCACTCCATTACCTCCCTTCAGTGGTCAGCACAGTTTCAGCCTGCTGTTGCCCTGGGTTATTTGAATGCTGCTTTGCTGTGGACTTAAACTGCCTCGACTTGAACCCTGAGAAGATTTGGAGTGGCAGGCAAATGCGGAAAGGACCCTGGTGGGACTCTCTGCCTAACAACATCCATGCCCTGCGGGACCTAGTGCAGTTCCACAGGGCTTGCAAGAGATGTTCTGCCAGGCCTCTGGTTGAGGACAGCAACTTTATTTCACTCAGTCTGGCCCCTCCTCGCCTTTTCACCTATGAGGCAAGAACTATAATTCTGACCCATCCTGGCGCCATCTGGAATGGTTATGGAATCTGTTTTACACAGGGGTCATTTCGTAGAAAAAGAGCTAGGGGGACTCATTAGCATAACTCATTAGCATATGCCACACACCCTGACATCACCGGACGTGTGTCCTCCTCACAGCCGGCGGCGACCTCCAGCGGGCACCAGCAGGGAGCTCCAGGCCCCGCCCTCCCGCACCTCACCTGGGGGGATGGCGTCCCCCCGCGTCCCCCCCCCCAAATGACCCCTGGTTTTACAGTTTTTAATTTGTTTTAAACTTGATTTGAATGTATCTTCATGAAATGATGTACACCCCCCTGAGCCCCAAGTATGGGGGAGGGCAGTTTAAAAATCTAATTTATAAATAAATATATAAATAAATTTACTGTCCTCAGGTACACAGAAGTGCAGTGGGTGGGGCGGGAACATTGTTATTCTGATATATTGGTATAGCGCATGTGCAAAGGGGGGGGGAAGTCTCCCACAGAGAGAAAATGTGGAATCTCTGCAGCACCATCTTGGATAGACACACTAGGGAAAATACAGAGGTAGTACAGAGGAAGCTCTCTTCCAACCAACTTTCTCACCATCAGTCAGCAGGATGATAACATGGCGGGTGGTGGTGATAATAGGGAAGGGATCCAAACCCTGCCTCTCTTCATCTTGTTGCTGATTGATCATCATTTCATAGACTGACGTCAGACCAGCCTTCATGTTTGTTCCAGGCTGAAGCGAATGATCTGGGGAAGGAAGACGAAGATTGAAGGAGATGAATCTTTCCTGATTCCTTGCTGCCAGCAACCCGCTCTTGGGACTGAGGAGCTCTCCCTGTTTCATTCTCTCCAGCAGCGTTTCTATGGGCTGATTCTGCACCCATCTGTTTCCTCACAGTTTTTCCACAGCCGTGTCGGGAGGTTAATCTCCCTCTACGCTGCATGCCGCTTTCACTTTCTTTGTTCATTGGTCTTTTATGATACCTTCTGCATAGATTCAGGGGTGACTTCACAGTCAGTACGGCATTGCCCTGGGGTATCTGAATGTGGTTTTGAGTGGCATCTTTTCCTTCCTCCGCTTTCAGTTCAAAGGGAACAATATTTCCTTCATTGATCTCTGTCAGTTCCCCCACCCCTATTTCCCCCCTCTGTATTTATCACCTCGTTGTGAATTACTTTGCTCAGACAGCTAATGACCGCTCAGGCAAGTACTGATGCAGGAAAATCTGCATACCAGATTGAATGAAAACAGATATTCCGAGGCAAGGGGGAGCCAGGTCGAGTGGAGTAAATGCCAGATGCAGAATGGACTATAACCTCTCATCTGGGTCATCTTATCTACAGACCTAGCATCTTGGCAGTCAGCATTCTAAGCCATCTCACCACTGCCCTCAATTAAGAAGAGTTAAGAAACCAAAAGGTTAGTTACTACAAATATGAGAGCCAAATAATGTCAATTAAAAACATATATTAAATATGATCAAAAATACCAAAATACATATATTTATTATAGATAAAAACAGATATAGGCCCAATAATAGCCTCAAAACAGGATAAAACTATACATACACATAATCAAACAGATAATATATGTGATCAAGTCCATACGGGTTTCAGCCAGTTTGGCCTCCCTCAGTGGTCAAACATATCTATTGCACATTAGCTCCAATTAATGCTGAAAATAGGACCAATTAAAAATGGTTTTATAAAAGATCTCAGTGAATCGAGGCAACGATTAAATACAGAGCCCTCATTTTCAAATACCTTCTGCCCTGGTCATATATTTTTTGTCTTCAATTATGTGTCTTTCTCTCTTGGTCCAAGGAAAGTATATTCTCATGCAATTTGGAACTAATAGCAAGTAAAATGACACTATGGACCCCCCGAATAGATTCCACCTGCCTTCCCTATGACCCTGATCCAAACCAAATATCATAACGAAACAAATCACTTTGCTTGCAGTTACCATGAATCTATAGTAATAAAAGAATCAGCCTGTCTGTTCTTCTGCCTACTAATGGCAGGCATAACTCATCAGATAATAATGCTGGGATTCTCAAAACTGGCCACCAGCTTCAGGATGATTGTGGGAGTTCCGGGGCCAGCACTGAAACCATAAAACCCGACAGAAGTGAAAGTGACATGCAATGTAGAGGGGAATTTCTGTTTCAACGTGGGTTTGGTAAAACAGCGGAGCAAATACTAGATGCAGATTGGGCATACTTTCACTTTGATTGATCATCGGATTTTATGGCAGTGTCCAGACTGCATGCTGCTTTCACTTAGTCTGATCTCTCGGTTTCATGGCACTGTCTGCATAGATTTATGGCCGTTTTATGGCCATTCAGGGATGACTTTGCAGTCAGTATGGCATTGGCCCGGGGTATCTGAATGTGGTTTTGAGCCACATCTTTTTCTGTTCCAGTGTGGGTTTGGTAAAACAACGGAGCAAATGCTAGCTGCAGAACAGGCCCCAGGCTTCCAAACGCATTCTGCAGCTAGTGCAGGGAGAAGGGACATGCAACCATAACCTTCCTTTGAATATTAAACCAACACTATCTAGGGTACCAATATAGGTGCAAAGCACAGGAAATGAGACCAAAGCACAGCCAGTCAGCCAGCCCGTTCCCTCACTAACCCCCTATCCTTGTACGTTTGCTGAAAAGGTCTCACACCTCGCACGGAGGCCCTGACTTTGCGCACCTGTACGAGAATTCTGTCACATCTCAGGGCCTCCCAGTCCCACCCTACAGACACCGCCCACCCTGCCTCCTCTCAAAAACCCTCTCCCTGGAACAGGACGGGAATATCGCCTCACCTTCATGCTTGAGCTTCTCCAGTTCGTCAATAACCCAAGCAGCGTTACTGCTGCGTTCGTCAGTGGTCGACACAATCACTTTGGGGTTTGTGGCAAAAGTGATGATGCCGTATTTAGGGGTGACATCATAGCTGGAAACCTGCAAGGAGAGGCCGGAATGTCGGGGGAGGGGAACAGGGAAGAACCAGAGGACAAGGTTCGGCGTTAAAGCTCATGTTTTGCCACTTAAAATGTCTACACGTGCGAGCAATGAGAGTCATTTTTGCAAACTTCCTCAGCAGACTTCTGGCTCCCCCTGCCAAGCTATTCCTGGGGGTTTCTGCCCCCCCAGGAGCGGCATTTCAGAGGGCACTTCAGGATGAAGTGGAACAGGGTCTGCTTCTTCCACCTGGAAATTTTAAGCAGAAACAGACCCATATTTTAGAGTTATGGGCAATGTTCCCTCTAAGCTGTGGAGTCTTGTGAGCAAAGATTCTAATTTGTGAGCTACTGGCATTAAAATTGTGAGCGAACGATTTGGCTACTGCATAAATTACATTGCTCTGGAGCCATCCTTCCTGAGCTAAGACAAAAATCTGTGAGCTAAAGGCTAAAAAACTGTGAGCTAGCTCACACTGACTCAGCTTAGAGGGAACACTGATTATGGGTAGTTCAAGTTTATGCCACAGGTATCCTATTGCCAATCTTGTCATGTTGTTTTCATGTGAGGCTTATTGTTGTAACAGGTTATATTTTATGGTTCTGATAAATAAATATTTAAATTAAAGAAAAAGAAACAGACCCATAATATCCTAAGCTTCTTCCCTAACATTTCTAGTTAACTGATCTCTCAGACTAGGGATGGGCCTGAGGTCTGACTTGGTATCCAGCAGGTTTGTATGTTCAGGCATTTTTCTCCCCATCGGCCATTTTATTTAAAGCTGTTCGCCTTCAGTTCTGACCCAGGACACAACAGAATTTATTGAGCCCAACACCAGAACTCATCATAGTCTGCTGGGCTTCGCTTTGGCTTCTGCCCCTCAAATACCCAACAAGATGGTAGAATTTTGATCTCAAGAGTTGGTAATCTTATTCAAGAGGTGTCGTTTACTTCGATACGGTTCCCTTTTGGTGTGAGGGAGAATGGGGGAGACACACCTTCTCAATCAGTTTGTTGATCACATCCTTGGCCTCGTTGAAATTCTTCTTGCCCACGCTTTGAGAGGCATCTAGAACAATGTAAATGTTCATCGAGCCACCAGGAGTGATTCGGATCCTACGCTGTTCTGTGTCCGCTGCAGGGAGAAAAGGACCAGAGATCAGAGGCAGATTTCCCAACTCCCTGAGTTTCTACTCATTAGTTTCTTGTCTAAGGGAATCTGGGAAACTGACTCCTTAGGGTTGCCAATCTCCAGGTGGCACCTGGAGATATCCCGCTATTATATTTGATCTCCAGGCGACCAAGATTAGTTCTCCTGGAGAAAATGGCTGCTTCGGAGGTTGGATTCTATGGCATTATATCCGGCTAAAGTCCCTCCTCTCTCCAAACCCTGCCCTCCCGAAGCTATAGGGAGCATGGTGTAGTGGTTAAGAGCGGTGGACTCTAATCTAGAGTTCCCTATTCATTCCCTACTCTGAAGAAGAAGATGACAACGACAACGACAACGAAGAAGATGACAACAAAGAAGACAAAGATGATGACAAAGAAGACAACAAAGACGAAGAAGACAAAGAAGACAAAGAATAATTGGATTTATACCCTGCCCTTCACTCGGAGTCTCAGAGTGGTTTACAATCCCCTTTCCCTTCCACTCCCCACAACAGACAACCTGTGAGGTAGGTGGGGCTGAGAGAGCTCTGAGAGAACTGCTCTTGAGGGAACAGCTCTGAGAGAACCGTGACTGACCCAGGTCACCCAGCTGGCTGCATGTGGAGGAGTGGGGAATCACACCTGGTTCTCCAGATTAGAGTCTGCTGCTCTTAACCACTACACCAAACTGGTGAGTGATCTCAGGTACCTCACAGTTCTCTGAGAACTCTCTCAGCCTCACCTACCTTATGCTGCCTGTTCCGGGGAAGGGAAGGGAAAGGTGATTGTAGGCAGGGGTCATTTTGTAGAAAAAGAGCTAGGGGAACTCATTAGCATAACTCATTAGCATATGCCACACCCTCTGACATCACTGGAAGTGTGTCATAAGGCCACACCTCCTGACATCACCGGAAATGTGTCATAAGGCCACACACCCCGCCCCCAACGGTCCCGGCCGCCACCGCCGGCCTTGCAGCTCTACTGCTGAGCCCCATGAGGGGCCCGACGGTGGACCTGCAAGGCCAGCGGGAGTGCGAGGAAGCCCCGCCAAGACCCTCCCTGGCCCCAGGCAGGCAGGGGTGGGGAGAGGCAGGGAGGAAGCAACTTACCCTCCCTCTTCTCCTGCCTCCTCCTGGCTGAATGAGGGCCAGAAGCGGGGTGGCTGGAAGCAGGGGGCGGGGCTTCGTCATGTGCCCCGCCCCCCGTACCTCACCTGGGGGAACTGTGTTCCCCCGCATTCCCCCCCGAAATGACCTCTGATTGTATGCCTCTTTGAGACTCCTTAGGTTAGAGAACAGTGGGGTATAAAAACCAACTCTTCCATTTCTTCCATCCCCCAAATCTCCAGGTATTTTCCAAGTCAGGGCTGGCAACCCTACACTACACTAAGCAGAAACAGACTCAACAATGTCCTCTCTGCTGAGGCAGTGAATTCTCCTCCTTCCTGACCCATATTATCCTTTGAAGCAGCTATGCCTGGATTTCAGCTGGTAAGAGCTGATCTAGAGGTCTAGATAGACAAAACGCTGAGAGACTTATTATCATTTATTATCTATTGAGTGACATCATCATCTTTTGGCAACTATCGGAACGGGCCTTGTCACAAACCCATTACTCCCCTCCTCCCGTTAACCAAAACTCACAAACAACTTTATTGGGATCTGAAGACTCTGCAACTTCAGTGAGGGATGAGATGAATTGAGAGGAGACTTCTTCCGGAGTGTCATAGGTAAATGGACCTGAGGAAGAAAGGGGAGAATATGGAGATTAGAAATGGTTGGAAGGACTTTGCTCTGTCTCTTGACCTCAGATCTCAGAGGGGGACTACAGAGAGTCAGATAGATAGACAGATCAGAACTAGGGTTGCCAGCTCTGAGTTGGGAAACACATAGAGATTTGGAGGGTGGAGCCTGGAGGGGGCGGGGTTTAGGAAAGGGAGGGGCTTCAGCAGGGTATAATGCTATAGAGTCCACCCTCCAAAGCAGCCATTTTCTCCAGGGAAACAGATCTTGATCGTCTGAAGATCAACTGTAATAGTGGGAGATCTCCAACTGCTACCTGGGCGTTGGCAACCCTAGTCAGGAGGACCCTGAGCATCCTTCCTTTCTACTGATCTGAGGATATCCCAGAGAGCCAGTTTGGTGTAGTGGTTAAGTGCGCGGACTCTAATCTGGGAGAACCGGGGTTGATTCCCCACTCCTCCACTTGCACCCGGCTGGATGACCTTGGGCAAGCCGTAGTTCTGATAGCAGCTGTCCTTGAAAAAGAGCAGTTTCTGTCAGAGCTCTCTCAGCCCCACCTACCTCATAGGGTGTCTGCTGTGGGGAGGGGAAGGGAAAGGAGTTTGTAAACCGCTCTGAGACACCTTTGGATAGTGAAGGGCGGAGTATAAATCCAATCTCCCCCTCCTCCTTTGATGTGTAGAGTTTATATGCGCATCCGGCTAGCTGATTTTAATTTGTTTTAACTTTGTATTTTGTTTTATGTATTTGTATATTGAACGCACTTAATGCCTGTGTGAGCCGCCCTGAGCCCGTTCGCGGGGAGGGCGGGGTATAAATATAATAAAATAAATAATAAATAAATAAACAGATTGCTGCTCTCAGAGTCTCCTTCCTTCCTTCTCTCCACACTAAGACGTTTTCTGCACAAATGGCTCTCCCGGCTCTTGCATGTCTATTCCTTCGCCTCTTCAGCTGATTTCCACAATGGTATTTGCAGTCTGAGTTGCAAAAACGAGGTTTGCTTCCCCTTGTGGCGCAGCAACGGAATTGCCAGAAACAGGGAAGTCTGACGCTGTGCCGCAAGGGAAGACAAACCTCATTTTTGCATCTTGGACAGCGAGGAGAGCTGTTTGCGCAGAAAACGTCGCACTTCTCCATCTTGGCACCGTGAGGGCAGGACATGCCTCCTGCCTCTCTAGCGAGACTAGACTAGAATCCAGTCTCTTCTCTGTCCTGTCTAGAATGGAGTTCCTTATCCCAAAGGACTCGTATTAGTTTTGCAAAGATATGCACGGCATTTATTACGGTTGAAGACCAGAAAATCAGACATATGTGGACCAAGTGATCCGATGAAGATGTATATACGAATATGTATATAAAAGGGAAAGATAAAGAGGCTTCGTCCCTAACTTTGTTTCTTAGCAGCACACACAAAAGCAGGTAGACTCTGCTGCATTAGGTGCCTTGAGCACACAGCTAACGTAATATTCCTTCATAAACTGGAATATAAGAACCTGTATATAGAACATTTTGGAGGTCAGTTAATTCATAGGGTCGCAATGAGTGGGAAGTGACTTGATGGCACACATGTAGGCAGGGGTCATTTCGTAGAAAAAGAGGTGCAGGAGCTCATTCGCATAACTCATTCGCATTACTTATTTGCATATGCCACACCCCCTGACATCACCGGAAGTGAGTCAGAAGGCAACGCCCACCGCTCAGGCTCCACTGGACTGTTTTGGATTGCTAGCTATTGGTGGGGGGGGGAACGTGCAGATCTGTCCTCGCAGAGGAGGGAGAGCTTGTACCTGAATAAAATTTGTCTTAAAGGTGCCACTTGAGTGTTTTGGACTCAAGGGCTGGGGGAGCTCTGCAACTTACCTGGCTGCTTCTTGCTCTGACTGAGGGCTGCTGGGAACAGGGGGCAGGGCTTGTTGCATGTGCCCGCCCACTGGGCTCTTTACTGCCGGAGCTCCGCTCCTGTGCGCTCCTGCAGGAAATGACCCCTGCATGTAGGTGGATCGTTTCCATAAAGGAAGCCATGGCCCTCAACAGTTCCCAAGACCTGAGCAAGGCTGTTAACGAGGCCAGTCATTCAAAGGGTCACCATCATTCGGAAGCAACTTGATGGCACATGACACTCACACACATGTGGAAACCTGCCAGCCCCCACCATTTACTCACTACGGCATTCTGGTTCTGATCCAGTCCAAGCTCCCGACTCCTGGCAAACCCGATATTGCGATCCCACGAGAGAAAGTCCATTGTCACAATGGTAGCGGACTCGGTCTTCGATTCGGTACCTGCTGCCTTCTTTCCGGGCACCAATGGGGACACCAGGGTTGCGGCAATGTCCGGCTGTGGAGAAGAAGCGATGACACAGTTGTGGACACTGCTGTTGTAAAATGTACATGAGTGTGTGTGTGTGTTAAAAGTGGAAATGGGGTGGCATGTGCACGTAAAAAATATATTCCAATAGGGTTACCAGATGTCCTCTTTTTTAGAGGACATGCCCTCTTGCTTTGGTGTCTGTCCTCTTTGGGGCTCTTTTTTAAAGAAACAAACGAAAATGTCCTCTTTCTAGGTTGGATGGTTAGGAATATTCCTAGTAGTAGCGATTTTAGTCCTTTCCGCATTTGCCTGCCACTCCGGATTTTCTCAGTGTTCGAGTCGAGGCAATTTAAGTCCAGGGCAAAACAGGATCCAAATAACCTGGGGCAACAGCAGGCTGGAACCGGGCTGACCACTGAAGGGAGGTAACGTAATGCAGAATGGGGGAGGAAACCCCGAAATCAAAAGAAGGCTGAACTCAATTATAGCGCATAATGGGGGGGGGGGATCTGGATTAAAAAGGCTGAATTCGATTTTAGTGCAGAATTGCTTGGAGGACACCGTGGTGAACATGGATTGAAAGGAGAGTGCAGCTTTGAAGAAGAAGAAGAAGAGATTGGATTTATACCCTGCCCTTCACTCAGAGTAGCTTACAAACTCCTTTCCCTATCTGGAGACTTTGGAGGTGAAGCCAGGAGAGGGTGGGGTTTGGGGAGGGGAGGGGCCTCAGCATGGTAGAATGCCATAGAATCCACCCTTCAAGGCAGCCGTTTTCTCCAGGGTGTAAAAGCGGGAGATCTCCAGGCCCCACCTGGAGGAGGAGATTGGATTTATACCCCACCCTTCACTTGGAGTCTCAGAGCGGCTTACAAACTCCTTTCCCTTCCCCTCCTCACAACAGACACCCTGTGAGGTGGGTGGGGCTGAGAGAGCTCTTGACCGAAACTGCTCTTTTTCAAGGACAGCTGTGCCAGAGCTTGTGACTGACCCAAGGTCACATCAGCAGGTGCAAGTGGAGGAGTGGGGAATCAAACCCGGTTCTCCCAGATTAGAGTCCACACACTTAACCACTACACCAAACTGGCTCTCTGTCATGGTGACCACTCGTTTGAAGTCGTCAGTCGGGAAATATGTCCTCTTTTTTTTGTTTTTCAAAATATGGCAACCCTATCTTCCAATATTAAAAACAAAAGTCCAAAGATATGGGCTCCTTCTTAGGGCCAGTTCTCTCATTACCAGTTCCATCTGGGGAAAATGTCACTGTCACAAGGACTTTGGGTTGGGACATGGGCTTGGAGTTCCATGCTGTGCATTCAATTCCCAGACAGAAGGTGGCCTGATTTGAATAAGGTCTGGAGTGTGTGAGGAGAAAGGATTGTGCTCTTCCCCATCCATGCCATTTCCCCAATTTACAACAGTTCTGGGGAGCCACTGCTTGCCTCATTGGGTAAGCTGCTATGCTTACCCATTGACTAGATGACCCTAGAGATCCAACTCGGTGATTCTATGATTCTATGAAACTTAGAGTCCAGTGACACCTTTAAGACCAGCAGAGTTGTGTTCAAGGTATGAGCTTTCGCGTGCACGCACAAATTTTTCAAATACAATGGAAAAGTGTGCCTTGCACACGAAAGCTCATACTGCGAATAAACCACTGCTGGTCTTAAAGGTCCCACTGGACTCTAAATTCGTTCTGCCGCTTCAGGCGAACACGGCTGACCCCTTGGATCTACCTGCTACGCAGCCATCATTGTTGAACAGCAGCTCCCCTGGGTTGTTTCAGCTTAGGGGAAATGGCAGGATGGAGTCAGCACACACTCAGGTGGGGCAGTTGTCATGGCCCGGGGCTTCTGATATGGACTGCTGCTACTGAACCTCCCTTGCTTGCTGGTGCCCCCCCCCCGCCCCCATCCTCCTATCTGTCTGCCAACTCAGGGGTGGGAAATGCCTGAAGATTTTGTGGGTGGAGCCTGAGGAGGGCATGGCTTGGGGAAGGGAGGGACTTCGATGGGGTATAATGCCACAGAGTCCACCGTCCAAAGCAGCCATTTTCTCCAGGGAAACTGATCTCTGTCACCTGAAGATCAGTTGTAATCAATGTTCCCTCTAAGCTGTGGAGTCTTGTGAGCAAAACTTCTACTTTGTGTGCTACTGGCATGAAAGTTGTGAGCCAGCAATTTGGCTGCTGCATGAATTAGTTGGCTCCGGAGCCACCTCTCCTGAGCTGAGACAAAAATGTGTGAGCTGGAGGCTAAAAAACTGTGAGCTAGCTCACACGAACTCAGCTTAGAGGGAACACTGGTTGTAATCCCAGGAGATCTTCAGCCACCACCTGGAGGCTGGCAACCCTAGGGAAAGGGCTGCAGGCAGTGCAGGTGGCTGTGAGCATAGGGTCAGGGTTGCCAGCTCTGGGTTGGGAAATTCCTGGAGATTTTGGGGGTGGAGCCTGGGGAGGGTGGGATTTGGGCAGGAGAGGGACTTCAGTGGGGTATAATGCCATAGACTCCAACTTTAGGGCTGCCAAGTCTAGGCTGGAAAATACCTGGAGACTTTAGGGGTGGATCCGGAAGAAGGTGGGGTTTGGGAAGGGGAGGGGTCTCAGGACAGCACAAGGCCATAGAGTCCACCCTTCAAAGCAGCCATTTTCTCCAGGGGAGCTGATCTCTGTCAGCTGGGGATCAGTTGTAAAAGCAGGATGTCTCCAGGCCCCAGCTGGAGGCTGGCAACCCTATCCACCTTCCAAGACAGCCATTTTCCCCCCAGGGGAACTGATCTCAGTCATCTAGAGACCAGTTATAATCCCAGGAGATTTCCAGGCACCACCTGGAGGTTGGCCACTGGCATGGGTGGTGGGAGGACTCGCAAGTGGGCAGGGAAAAGTCACACCACTGGTAGCCGAGTGAGTTGGTAGGAAGGGAGGAGGACACGAGTGGGGGTCCTGGTGGTGGGCAGGGGAGAGGACGAGGCCCTGAAAACTCTCTACCCAAGCCCCCCCCCTCCAAAACCTAGAACCAGCCCGCGGGGGGGGGGTAGTATATGGATTTAGGGAGGCTGACGCATTCTCCTCAGGCACTGTGGTGCAAATCCAAATCAGGCTGAGTGCCTCAGAATGTAAATTCGCAACTGAAAACTCCCAGTGGTAAAGGTTCCCCTGCTCGAAAGCCAGTCAAATCCGACTCTAGGGTTGCGGTGCTCATCTCCGTTTCAAAGCCGAAGAGCCAGCGCTGTCCGAAGATGTTTCCGTGGTCATGTGGCCGGCATGACTAAACACCAAGGCTCACGGAACGCTGTTACCTTCCCACCGAAGTGGTACCTATTTATCTACTTGCAATGTCTTGCTTTCGAACTGCTAGGTTGGCAGGAGCTGGAACTAGAGATAGGAGCTCACTCCATCATGCGGCACCCAGGTCTCGAACTGCTGAACTACTGACCTTCCACAGCCTGCAGTTCAGCGTCTTAACCACTTGAGCCACCGCAGCTCCTAGAAAACACCCAGAACACATCTGTAAAAAGTTCATGTGGGGAACGCTGAAAAGATGGAGAGGAGAGAGAGAACAGCCTCTCCACAAGGAATCACTGAAACTCACCTCCATCGTAGCATACAGTTGTCTTTCCACTCCATTTCCCGTGGGGGAGGCATGTGCGGTTCTGGGACCCACGCATCATGTACCCCTGGTAGCATTCGAACCTCAGCTCCTGGCTTACGTTGTAGTAGGGCTGTCGGGGCTCGTACAGGCCGTTTTCAAACTCCAGAGGCCTGGTGCATCGGATGTCTGGAAGGAACGGAAAGTCGAGCCTAGTGACTTGTCTACAAGTAGAGATACCAACCTCCAGGTGAGGCCTCAAGATCTCCTGAAATTACAACTTACAGGAGTCAGTTTCCCTGGAAAGAATGGCTGGTTTGGAGTGTGGATTCCATGGCATTATATCCCATTATACCTATGGATGTCAGCCGCCAGGTGGGGCCTGGGGATCGCCTGGAATTACAGCTCAACTCTGGACTGCAGAGATCAGTTCCCCTGGGGAAAATTGATGCTTTGGAGGATGGACTCCATGGCATTGTACCCCACTGAGGTCCCTGTCCTCTCCAGGTTTCACTCCCAAATCTACTGTTTTCTTGAGGACACTCTACCTCTGACTTAGATAGCCACACAGGTGCTTTTTGGACCTAAATTGGAAGATGTTCTAATTCAGCAACTGTGCATTTGGCACCAGACACATGACTTTCACCTTTTGAGGCCTCACAAACACCTTTGTCTTGTGTCTTTAGATTTTGCTGCTTAACCTTCCTTTTCTTGGTCCAATATTCACTTATTGGTTATCTTATTGTAATATGTATTAAAGTTATGTGTACCTCAATATTGTTTGACCTGTAAAGGAGGCCCCAATAGGGTGGAAACGCATCAGGTCATGTGAATTGGCCCTGTGTTTAGGCCACCTTTACTTGTTTATGAGGCTTTCATTGGGCCCTTATATGTTTTTAACTTAGGCTTGCCAGAGTTAAAAACCCCGCCCCCGAGGCCTGTTCCCCGCCGCCGGGGGATCGGGCCCCGGGGGGAACTCCACCCCGACGTGCACGTCGCCCGGAAGTGACGCGGGCATGCTGGGCACGCTGGGGGTGGCGCCACGGGCATCCACGGGGAAACTCT